GAGTTCAGACGTGTGCTCTTCCGATCTTTTTATACACTGTGTTACAAAAGTAAAGGTGTGCGAATCAAGTATATTTGCATGGTCGAATCAAATTAAATTGAATTTTTTATAACATGTTCGAAATCGAATCAAATCGAATCTGAAATTTTCACTTCGAATTGAATCGAATCTGAATCAAATTTTCCCAGATTAATATTACATGTTAATTTGAACGTAATAAATATCAAAATTTATGATTTACATTATTTTGATGACGCAATAATTTAAACAAACTGAAGACCTGTTTTCGATTTACATCTCATTATAATTAAGGATCATGATCTTACGTGACATTTTGAAAATATTAATAATATGTGTATACACAAATAGTTAGAATGCTTTCGAATATTTTATTAATCTATATGAATACATTACATATATCAAAAATACTTATTTATTAGATAATAATTGATCGCGCGGGAGATGTAAATGAACCAAATAAAATAAACGATTGATTTGAAATCGAATCATTGTTGATTCGAAATTCTCGAACTACTCGATTTCGAATCTTACAAATTCGAAAACACATTCGAATCGAACTATGATTCGATTCGACTCGAATTCGAACTATTCGCACGCCCCTATACAAAAGAGCACTTTTTTCTCTCTCCGAAGTGCGACCATACGTTTCTTAAAAATTTTTTTACACTGAACACGATGCTGTTGGCAGAATTCGCTTAGCACGTCAGGATTTTGAGTAAATTGAAATGAAAATGGCCAGAATAAAAATGACGTTTTTGATCACTTTAATTCCAATTGCTAGGTGAATTTTTTAAACGGCATTGTAAAAAATCTTCGGGAAACGTATAGTCGCACTTCAGAGAGAGACAAAAAAGTGTTCGTTTGTAACACAGTGTATTAAAAATCTAAAAATATTAAACAATTAAAAAAATATAGGCTAATGGGAATCAGCGCGGTAATTGGTGCGCAATAATAATTTAAGTAAATATCACTATTTGTTTCATGTAAATCGATGTATTGCCAAACGTTTCGGCCATACTTCTG